CTACAACCATTAACTCATTACACGTGGCAAAATACTGATTTTTTTAAACATCTATATTGGAGTATAATTGCTTTACAATGTTGTGTTAGTTTCTGCTGTATTACAAAGTGAATCAGCTATATGTACACATATATCCCCATATCCTCTCCCTCTTGCGTCTCCCTCCCACGCTCCCTATCCCACCCCTCTAGGTGGTCACAAAGCACCGAGCTGATCTCCTTGTGCTATGTGTCTGCTTCCCACTAGCTATCTATTTTACATTTGGTAGTGTATATAAGTCCATGCCACTCTCTCACTTCATCCCAGCTTACCCTTCCCCCTCCCCGTGTCCTCAAGTCCATTCTCTATGTCTGCGTCTTTATTCCTGTCCTGCCCCTAGGTTCTTCAGAACGCTTTTTTTTCTTTTCTTTCTTTTTTTTTTTTTTAGATTTCATACATATGTGTTAGCATAAGGTATTTGTTTTTCTCTTTCTGACTTACTTCACTCTGTAGGACAGATTCTAAGTCCATCCACCTCACTACAAATAGTTCAATTTTGTTTCTTTTTATGGCTGAGTAATATTCCATTGTATATATGTGCCACATCTTCTTTATCCATTCATCTATCGATGGACATTTAGGTTGCTTCCATGTCCTGGCTATTGTAAATAGTGCTGCAATGAGCATGTCTGTCTTTTTGTTTGTTTGTTTTTTTGTTTGCGGTATGCGGGCCTCTCACTGTTGTGGCCTCTCCCGTTGCGGAGCACAGGCTCCGGATGCGCAGGCTTAGCAGCCATGGCTCACGGGCCCAGCCGCTCCGCGTCATGTGGGATCTTCCAGGACCGGGGCACGAACCCGTGTCCCCTGCATCGGCAGGCAGACTCTCAACCACTGCGCCACCAGGGAAGCCCTGTTTGGTTCTTTTATGATATTTTCTATTTATATTTTTGAAATTCTCATCTTGTTCATATATAATTTTCCTTTGATTTTTTTTGTCTGTGTTTTTCTTCAGCTCCGTGAGCATATTGAGAACAGTTGCTTTAAAGGTTTGTTTACATCGACTGATATCTGTGCTTCTTCATGGACAGTTTCTGCAGATTCATTCTGTCTTTCGAGTGAGCTCTATTTTCCTGTTTCTTTGTATGACTTGTGATTAGTTGTTGGTGAAAATTGGGCATTTGGTACAACAGCTGCCTTTCCCAGTCTTTGCAAGTTGGCTCTGTGTCAGGGCAATTCTATATTTATTAGTTTTGAACTTTGAGTCTTGGGATTAGCCTGAGATGAAGCCTTAAGGTCTTCTCAGGCCTTTTTGAACTTGCATCTTGCCTGGGTCTCCGTGTAGATTTTTTATTCCCTCATATATATGGTTGTTGTTGAATGCCTTTACTTCCTGAAGAATCACACCTCGCTTCTCCTCAGAGCCTCAGACGATCTGTTGTGCGCCTCCCCCTCCTATCTCCTGCTCCGGGTGCACATGGATCTGTAGTGTCCTTCAGCTTTTACCTGCAGTGTCTGCCGTATTTGTTACTATCACCAACATGGAACATAGCTACTCTTTCCCTTTTGGAAGCAGAGCATATTCTGTCCAGTAAATTTGGGGTGAGATACACCTTCTTTTGAAGGAACAATGATCGGGCATTAGCCTAAATAGAAGAGTCAGTAATAAGGTGATCATGGGAAATATATCTGGGGACTAAAAAATCCTGGTACAGAAAATTTATTGAAAATAGAAATTAAGATAATAAATATGTTTGGAGCTTCAGCTTTCAAATGGTTTGAAGAATCAGCTACCATCAGTTCCACAGGAGGATAATAAACTAGTTCTTATAGAAACATATATTAAAGAGAGGAAATAGAGCAAAAAAGATGTTGTAAATTTATTTTAGGGCTTTACTTGAGACTGAAAGAGATGCGAAGCAAGATTACATGAAGATGAGGCTCCTTAGTGTGGCTTTCTCATACAAAACCACATGGCTATTTTTCTAGAGAAAATGGTTGAGAAAAATACATTATGGGTTATGAAACTATATATATATACACCTGAGATAAATGAATCTGTAAGAACTGTGAAGAAGTCAAGGGAACCTAAGTAGTTTTTAAGAAAAGGACCAATTGACAGAGGTAAATAAAATTGCCCTGCAAGTGAAAGTAGTTGATAGGAAAAGGAGAATACGGTGACTTGAAGGCTTTTGAGCCTGCTTCCATTTCTTTTCTTTTTTTTTTTTTTTTGGTGGTACACGGGCCTCTCACTGTTGTGGCCTCTCCCGTTGCGGAGCACAGGCTCCGGACGCGCAGGCTCAGCGGCCATGGCTCACGGGCCCAGCCGCTCCGCGGCATGTGGGATCTACCCGGACCGGGGCACGAACCCGTGTCCCCTGCATTGGCAGGCGGACTCTCAACCACTGCGCCACCAAGGAAGCCCCTCCATTTTTGAGATTAGAGTTATTCATTCTCATACTCCAATGTCCACCCTCAATACTTTTTGGGCCCCTCAATACCCAGAAAGGATCCAGGAGATAACGCTGAAGTTCTTGCTTGAACTCCTGCAGCCCTCAGAATGATTGTCTTTGTCTAAGAATGATTCTGATATGAATCCTTCTACTTCAGTGATTTCATGGAGTATTATCTATTAATTAAGAATTTTCTTATTAAGGGACTTCCCTGGCAGTTCAGTGGTTAAGACTTCACCTTCCAATGCAGGGGGTGCGGGCCGATCCCTGGTCGCGGAGGTAAGATCCCACATGCCTCGCGGCCAAAAACCCAAAACATGAAACAGAAGCAATATTGTAACAAATTCAATGAAGACTTTAAAAATGGGGACTTCCCTGGTGGTGCAGTGGTTAGAAATCCACTTGTCAATGCAGGGGACACAGGTTCATGCCCTGGTCCAGGAAGATCCCACATGCCGCGGAGCAGCTGAGCCCATGCATCACAATTACTGAGCCTACGTGCTACAACTACTGAAGCCCGTGGGCCTAGAGCCCATGCTCTGAAACAAAGAGAAGCCACCGCAATGAGAAGCCCGCATACCGCAAGGAAGAGTAGCCCCCGCTCACCACAACTAGAGAAAGCCCACGTGCAGCAATGAAGACTGAACACAGCTAAAAATAAAATTAATTAATTTTAAAAAAGAAGACTTTAAAAATGGTCCACATCAAAAACATCTTTTTAAAAAAGAATTATCCCATTAAATTATTATCATTCTATTAATTGAGATAACTCCTTCATTATCTTCATAGTTACTTAATATTTTATTATTTTAATGATTATTCTGAAAATTTCAACATGCATTCTTGACTTTGTAATGTCCAAGATAAATAGTTGCTTTACCTCTTCTTGTATATTTTAATAGCCTTAGATCCTTTTAACTCCACTTATGCCCCTTTTAATTTAATTGCAACACTTACAGTGTACTTGAAGCTTATGCAATTTTAAACCACAGACACTAATATTATGGTTTTATATAATCACTATTCATTTAGATTTACACCCGCATTTACCTATTTCATTGCACTTTATCCTGAATCTTAGCGGTTCCATTTGGGATTATTTTCTTACATCCAAAGAACATTATAGTATATCCTTTGTGCAGACCTAAGTTAACGATTTTTTTCTCTACCTATCTTAAATTATCTTTATTTCACCTATGGAATATAATTATATCCTCATATGATTCTCATATAATTATCTTTCCTCTGGGGATAGAGTTTTAGTATGACAATTGTCTTTCAGTAATTATATGGCTTCTATGTTTTCTTTTTCTTTTTATAGATTATCTGTCAATTACTTCTTTATTATTTTATTTTTTTTCTTCTTTTTGGCCACGCCATGCGGCATGTAGGAACTTAGTTCCCTGACCAGGGATTGAAACCACGCCCCCTGCACTGGGAACTCAGAGTCTTAACCACTGGACTGCCAGGGAAGTCCCAGCAATTTCTTCTTTAAAAGTAAATTCTGTATTTTACTGCCTGTCTTTCAGCTTTCATTTATCTTTGGTTTTCAGCAATTAAACATGATATATATAACTTTGTTTTTATTTTGTTCACCCTACTGGTGTTCCTAATACTTTGTCAATATGTAGTTTGATGTCTTCTATCAGCTTTGGAACATTCACAGATATTATCTATCTCACTATGAGTTATGGGTAAACTGTGATTTACGAAAGCAAATTTTGAGGTAACAGATCATTAGGAGACATTGTCTTAGCAAATACACTACTTTGCATATACATTTTTATTTGCTTGTCCTGAAAGAGTTCACCAATGATCTGTATATACAAGTTTAATTTGAAGCATGGTATGTAGATGAGATGGGAGCAGCTGGGAAAGACTTTCAGATATTCTTGCTGAAAATTATTCAGAGTGGAGGCCAGCCTTAGCAAGGAAGAATGTTGTAATTATGAGGTATGTCTTCCAAGAGCACCATATGGAAATTGTCAGGATATATGCCATCAATTTATCATCACTGATATGGATTGAAGTCTTTATTAAATGGAATAACAGAACTTGAATGCAATTAAAAAAAAAGAAAAAATATACAATCACATAGTAGAAGAGAACTAAAATGAAAGGAGACCTATGTTCTTTAAGCTTGCTGGAGTCTACTCAGGTGAAAAAAATCACTTCTATTAATCTCGTTTTTCCATATTCCAGAGAATAATTAGTATAAAATACTCACTCTCTGTGAAGAGCTATTATAATATTTCATTCTTGAAAGTTATTTTTCTCATTTGTTCCTCTCTGAAAGATATACCCGGGGCGTGGGGGGATGTAAATCTGTAGCCCTGACTATTTCTTTTCTTCTTTTTTTTTTTTTGCGGTACGCGGGCCTCTCACTGTTGTGGCCTCTCCCGCTGCGGAGCACAGGCTCCGGACGCGCAGGCTCAGTGGCCATGGCTCACGAGCCCAGCCGCTCCGCGGCATGTGGGATCTTCCCGGGCCAAGGCACGAACCCGTGTGCCCTGCATCGGCAGGCAGACTCTCAACCACTGCGCCACCAGGGAAGCCCAGCCCTGACTATTTCTAAGGAAGCAATATTCTTACAACTTGATTTGATATGATTTGTTACTCCGAGATCAGCATAGCATAATAGTTACACGCATGATCTCTAGAGTAAAACTATTTGACTTAAATCACGTTTCTAATTCTTACTAGCCATACAATTTTGGAACAATTTCTCATTCTTTCTGGGGCTCAGTTTCTTTATTAATAAGACAATCACAATACTAGTACTGTTTTGTAGGAATTATTGGGGCAGTACATGATCTAATATATGATACACTGAAGTAGTATCGGGAATATTGGAAGCAATCAATAAATGTTAGGTATTTTTTAAGTGCTAATTGTGACTAAATGCTCTTCAGTTTGCATGTTCTATGTGGTTTCCTCCCATTTCTTTGCCAAGGTCTGAGATTTTAATATATTAGCATTTACTTCTATATGCAAATACATTTGCATTTACAAATCACTTAACCATTTAAGCCCATATTTTGATATTTTGGGTTTGGTTCAGAGATCTCCAATTATTATAATATGTTGAGTTTAGCAGGCTTGAATGAACACAGGATGTTAAAATGTCTCTGTAATTATCTTCTGTATAAGAAAATGTAGGAAGGAATGCCATACATTTCCAATTCTTCCTTGTTATTTGTCTTGATAAGACTGGAGCTCAGTGCTTCAGAACAATTTCCTTGCTGCCAAGACTTTATTTTCAGCAGAAATAAAGTAACAGTTTTCTTCAGAGAAGGACCTTGACAACAAAAGGTACATCCGTGAGGATAACTTTGTCACCCATGTTAGCTCTGTGTATTATAATTTTTGTATTATTGTTTTCAATTATCCTTCTTAACTTCAAGAGAAGTCCATGATATATAAGAATTTTTCTGATAAGCGCACCACAGTTACTAACTCTGATCTTATATTTATTAATTGTATATATACATCTAAATTTAAACCACTTACACTGATATCAAGGTTCTCATTGCAATCTAATTCATACCTCTGTTTTATATTATTTTGCAAGGTGAAGTCTCATTTTGATGGTTGGTTTCCCATGTATTCAGAAGTTCTTCTAGACAATAAACTGAAATTTATGAAATTTACAAAAGAAAATACATTTTAAGACATCACTTTTAAACACTCAAGAATGCAAATAAGATAGAAAAAATTTTTAAATGTAAGTACAATTTATCCATTCATTTTTTACTATTAACTGCAGAATAAATTGGAAATTACCACTTGTAAATAACTGACATTAAAGTATAAAACTTTTTACTTATGACAGATATTTACGAGGTAATTACTGGTGCTTTAATCATTGAAAGTTTGCACATCTGATTGATGCTATTCTAAGCAGTTAATATACCCAGACAGTCAGGACATAATGACCAAACCTATCTTTGAAGCAAATGCCTTTCACATAACACATATCCACTCAGTCACAAAGTACTATTTATTCTATCGCTACAATGCCTCATATATCTATTTCCTTCTTCACAGTTCCATAACCTTTTCCCTATTCAGATTTTCATTATTTTTATATGGAACTTTTATAATATTCTACAAACTCTCTTCACTAGTTCTCACTTTCCACTACTTTTCTCAAAACGCCTCTAGAATTAATACCCCCATTGCACAGCTTTACTGATATTACCCTTTCAATATCGTGAGACTATCAATTATTTATGTATTAAATTCAAGCTCATTAAAATAAAAAAATTATAAAATTGTGCCATTTTCTTAACAGCTGTATTTCTGACTATTTTCAAATATGAAACCTTTAACCCACATCATGATGTATTTTGTTTTGTTTTGGAGACTCTGGCACTCCAGGTGACACAACTTGAATTTGAAATAGAGTGAATGGAATGTTCCTAGCTCAAATTTATTTTATTTAGTCTGAATGGTCTATGGTTACTTCTAAGATATTTTGGAGACTTCACATAAATTGTAAAGAAAATCTTTCTGCATCCCTATTTTTTAAAGATCTGATCCCAGTCCAACTACAAAATCATATAACTTGTTGCTGGACATAAAGTTTCAATCGGTCAAGTGCAGACTCATATGACCAAGACTTTAAGTTCTCTGGACCATATTATTCCAGCTTGAGTCCCAAATGCATTGCTGGACTCATAAGAATAAATGTACTAGAAGGGAGGATCAAGATGGCAGATGGCTTCCCTGGTGGCGCAGTGGTTGAGAGTCTGCCTGCCGATGCAGGGGACACGGGTTCGTGCCCCGGTCCGGGAGGATCCCACATGCCGCGGAGCGGCTGGGCCCGTGAGCCATGGCTGCTGAGCCTGCGCGTCCGGAGCCTGTGCTCCGCAACGGGAGAGGCCACAACAGTGAGAGGCCCGTGTACCGCAAAAAAAAAAAAAAAGATGGCAGAGTAAGAGATCATGGACCTCACCTCTCCCAACAAACACATCAATAATACATCTACATGTGGAATAATTCTCATGGAAAACTAACTGGAAACTGGCAGAAGTACTCCTATACAACCAAGACTGTAAGAATGATACACAATTGGGTAAGACCGAAAAAAAAAACCTGGATCAGAACCTGTATCCCTGGGAGAGGACTAAGAAGAAAAGGGGGATTTCACGGGTGGACACTCACCCTGGGATGTGAGAGGGTTGACCCACAGCCTGAGCGTCCCAGTCCTGGGCTCCTACATGGAAGAGACAAGCCCCCTTGGCTGTTTGGAGAAGCTCTGGGGCAGACAGAGGGGCTGGAGGAGCCTAGACTACACTCGTGTGGAGTGCCTGGATGCTGCTTGCCACCAGACAGGCGGACAGAGGTCTTCCCCAGCAGCTGCTACCTCACTGTGCGCCCAAACCCAAGCCAAATGAATGCCCTGGCCCCATTCACTCCATGCCACAGCTTGACACCGGATCTAGGGCATCCAGAACCTGGGAAAGGCTTGATGTAGGGACACGGGGGCAACCCAAGGCCCAGCGTGTGGTCCAGGTGGGGCAACAGTGGGCAAACAGCACCCCAGAAGCAGCCCAGACATCTGACAGCAGCATGGCTGCTTGAATTCCCACAACCCACTATGCCACACTCCCCAGTCCCAGCCAAGAAAACACTCTGTCCCCACCTACTCCATGTCACAACCTAGCACTAGATCTGGGATGACCACAACAGGGGAAAAGCTATAACTTTGGGCTGTGTGTGAGACGGGCCACAGATGCCTACACAGGCAGCACATCAGACTTCCGTCATTGCACAAGCCGCACTTACTTCAGCATTCCCCTCATTTGGGGCAAAGTCTCCAGGGTAGGGAGAAGGAAAAACACACAAAGGAAACAGAGCCAGCTCAAGCCTGACCCTCACAACGTCTGCTCTAGCAACTTGGAAAGAGACCCTGCCCCAACAGGGCAACTATGGCCACTGAGCAGAGAGGAAGTCCCACCTCGCACCCTGAGCAGGCTTTAGCTCCTCCATCACCACCACCACACCCCCCGCCAAGGTGATAGTGGCCAGCACACCCTGAGGAAGATGTGACTGGCAACCACATCAATCCAGTCTTCCCACCAAAGGCGTCATACACATACCGTCTACATAGGGGTGCTCCCACATAAGAACAACCCTTCAAGAACACACTGGGTAACTGTTTCACCTGAACTCATAAAGACAGAGAAAGTTACGTAAAGTGGAAAGGCAAAGGAAATACTCTCAATTGAAAGAGGAAGAGCAAACCCCTGAAAATTAAATAATGAAATAGAGATAATCAGTCTACCAGACAATGAACTCAAAACGTTAGTAATAAAAATTCTAACTGAATTAGGGAAGAGAACTGATCATAGACCATTTTAACAAGAAACTCGAAACTATAAAGAAGTCCCAGTCAAAACTGGATAATTCAATTTCTGAGATAAAAAGCACTCTAGAAGCAATGAATAGCAGACTAAATGACATAGAAGAATGCATAAGTGATTTGGAATTTAGAATAATGGAAATCACCCAATTAGAAGAGCAGACAGAAAGACAAATTAAAAAGAATAAAGCAACATGCAAGATCTGTGGGATAATAGAAAGTGTGCCAACTACACGTAATAAGGGTTCCAGAAAGAGAAGAGAGAGAAAAGGAAATCAAAAATGTATTTGAAGAAAGTATGGCTGAAAATTTCCCAAACGTAAGGAAGGAAACAGAGATCCAGGTACAGGAAGAACAGACAGTCCCAAACCAGATGAAACCAAACAGACCTACACCAAGACATGTCACAATTAAAATGGTGAAATTTAAAGATAAAGACAGGATTCTAAAGGCAGCAAGAGACAAAAAAGAGTCAGTCACAAGAGAACCTCCATGAGACTATCAGCTGATTTCTCTGCAGAAACTTTGCAGGCCAGAAGGGAATGGCATGACATATTCAAAGTTCTGAAAGGGAAAACCCTGCAACCTAGGCTACTATATCCAGCCAGATTATCATTTAGAAGAGAAAGAGATATAAAGAATGTCTTAGACAAGCAGAAACTAAAAGAATTCAGCAATACTAAACCTACCCTAAAAGAAATGTTAAAGGGTCTTCCCTAAATGAAAAAAAAAAGTAAGAGTCCATATTAAAGGGAAAATCCCAACAGGAAAGGCAAATATATAGTAAGGATTGAAGATCACTCAAGCCAGGACATAGATTAAAAAACAAAACAAAACAAAACAACTAAATATATATACACCATGGATACAGACATTCATATGGTTTTATGATCAGGCCGTTTTCTCTTATTTTGATATATTTATTTTATACCAGTACTATAATGTTAAATTACCTGTAGCTTTGTAGACTATTTTGGTACCTGGAAAGGCTAGATTGCTACGTCTCTTTTTTAATATATTTCAATACGTATTTTGTTAATCTTATAATTTTTTACTTCTATGTCTAAATTGTAATTAATGTACTTATGAAAATACACATGTATTGGAATCACATAAATCTTAGATGAGTCTAGAATAGTATAATCATCTACACAGGATTAGTCTTCCCATCAAGGTACATTTAATATATACTCAATTCATTAAATGTCCTTCTTTATATCTTTTAATAAAGTATTACAATCTCTTTCATATAAGCCATGTACATTACTAGGTGTATTAACTTATTTAATAAAAAAGTTCACTAAGTACCTCTAATGTGACAGCATAGTTTTCAAAAGCAAAGGTTAAAATGTAGAGCAAATACATACATAGGTTCTTTCTAACTAAGCTAACATGCTAGTGGGAGAGGCAGACATTAAATACATAACCACACAAATAATTACACAGGTGAGACTGTGAAAGATGCCACAAATGAGTCGTACATAAGATATTGTAATAGAGAAATTTGGCCTAATTATAAGAGAATAGTGTTAAATGATTACTCTAGGATTTAGTTACCTAGAAGAAAAGTAGAAGAAAGGATGCTTTAGGTAAAAAAATAGTCTATGTATATGCTTTGTAGCAAGAAGGATTACGGATAAAGTTATAAATCATAATCAATCTACCCAGAGAAGTCCTGATTTATGCTTGTTGTCCCAGAGTAATTATTGACATCATCTACTCTCATCCTTAAAATTATCCTTGCTTTTATGATGCTACATGGTAAGTCTAACCATGAGTCATTCAGTGGACTAAAAGACAACTGTGACTGGAGCCTAGTGAGCGAAAAAGTATGTGATGCTAGCTGGTGTAGAGAGCCATGGACCAAGTAAGGAATGACCTTATAAACCATGTTAAGGATTTTAAAATTTATATTGAATTTAAAGTATTAAAAAGCTAAGTATGGTGAGTTTATAAAATTTATATTTTGAAGAGGTTACTCTGGAAATTGAATGGAAGAGGTCAAGAGTGGATTGTAGTTAGATCACTAGGAGGCTTATAGCATAGACTGAGAGAGAGAGGGACAGAGAGAAAGAATTGTCCTAGATTAGATGGGTAGTAATGCAACTGTAGAGAAGTGTACTAATTCACTAAATAATCAGTGAAATAATCAGTGGAATAATCAGTGGCAGTTAGATAGCACAGAGGATTCCTAGGTTCATCTCACTGGACATCAGGGGCCAAGAGAGACAACAGTATTAAAGTATCTGCTTTTTTTTCTTGATGCTGGTAAGGATCAGGGCTGGGAAGACAGTCTATTTAAAAATATTGTGGGCGAGGTGTTTTTCAAGATATCAAAGAAGAAATGTCAAGTGAGAGGCTCAAAATGTGGACCTGGATATTGGACGTTAGCTCTAGATTGTATAAAATGAAAGTCTGTTAACTTTGTATTGAGCTTCATTATTGAAGTGTTCTTATTATGATTGCTTTTTTTCAGTAGATTTTCTTGGTATATCTGGGTAACAAAGCACATCATCGACATACAATTTCAGTAATTAATTTAAAATATTTGTGTCTAAAAAGGTTTTCCTGCGTTACTGATTTCTTTGCCCTGGACAGCCAAAGGAATGATAGCAATTATATCAGTCGTCTTTGTCTTCATGATTCTGTTGAAAATGATTCTAATTTTTTTACTATGAAACATAATATTTGGTGAAAGTTCTTATAAATACCCTTAATCAAGTTCAATGTTTCCTTCTACTTGTAGTTATTTCCTTTCTCTTCTATATTGACAAATCTCTTGGTAAATGTACAAATCCATCCCTGACTTTAACCAAAATTTGGTCATCATGTAGTATTATTTCAGTACAGTAGTGTATTATGTTCACTTTTTTATGTAGGATTTTTGCTTCTATGTTTGTAACGGATGCTGTTCCAAAATATTTTCCTGTGTGTGAAAATAATTTGAATAATGCTATGCTTACCTTATGAATCTGGATGGGAATCTTCCATCTTTTGCCAGCTACTAAATAGTTTGTCTAGGAGTCAATTTTTGTTATTAAGATATTTTCAAATTCATTCTTAAAAATTACCATCGTTGTGCATCCAAATAGATATTCATTTATTTATCTATAGAATACAGTCATATTTATTCAATTTCCCTACATTGTCTTGAGTCTCTTTATCATCATATATGTCTTTGTAAGAAATCATACATTTAAACAAGGTTTTTATGCTTATCACTAAAAATTATACATTATGCTACATTCTCATTGATTTAGATCTACTTATGCCTTTTGAATAAATTTATCCTTCATATGTTTGGAACTGTTGTTTTTTCTGCTTTGTAAACATAAATTACCTTACTTTTGATATTTGAAGGAATTTTCACGTTTCTGGTTTGCTGATAGTACTGGTTATGAGTCTTTTTTTTTTTTTTTTTTATAAAAAGCTACATATATTTTATAACATTAAGACATAACTGGGGCTTCCCTGGTGGCGCAGTGGTTGGGAGTCCGCCTGCCGATGCAGGGGACACAGGTTCGTGCCCCGGTCCGGGAAGATCCCACATACCGCGGAGCGGCTGGGCCCGTGAGCCATGGCCGCTGAGTCTGCGAGTCCGGAGCCTGTGCTCCGCAATGGGAGAGGCCGCAGCAGGGAGAGGCCCGCGTACCAAAAAAAAAAAAAAGACATAACTGAATTCAAGCAGTGTATAGGCTTAGTCCAATATCCTGATAATTTTTTTCATTTTTTGATGAATCTCTGTCCACCATCATTTATCTCTTCTATTAGATTCTTTCTTTCAAATGACCTTTGCTTGATGTCCTTAATTTTGAACTGCCCAACCAATAAATTCTATAAATATTTTCAAGTATTATTACATCTCACAGCTGGTAAATCTAAGGTCAGTAACAATATGGTAACATATAGAATGCTGCTATTATTTTTCATTTTTATCAAAACTCTTAGCTACCCACTGACATCTTTGATAAGATCACCTGGGCCTATGCTATTGTTGATAATTCAAAAATTGAATTGCTAAAATAACTTTTATATAATTAAAATAACAAATGAGAAAAATAACTTTAGGAAATCCTTAGAATTAATTTTAAATGCTTTAAAAATCCTATTCTAGTAATTTTAAACAAGTTAATGAAAAACTGAAAAATACTTACCCTTAGCTATCATAAATGCAGCTAGTACCAGAACAATTAAATAAAGCAAGGCAAATATCACTGCAGCAAGGCACCATGGAGACTCTGCCCAAAGAGAGAAAGGTGATTCACTATGATGATCAATGGAAACAAGACTGAGGAGTTGGGATTAGAAGGAATTTTGGTTAGGAATATTCAACCCGTTAAATTGGAATGAAATCTAAACCCATGGGAGTACTGCATTGTTGGTATTCCCCAGTCTGTTAGGAAAACTCTAAAAATTACTTGAAAATTTGGATATAGCCAGGGAAAATATGAATATTTTATGTAGGAATGTTGTTGAACTAACAAGTTGCTCTATTAAAGAAATTTTATAATTAAAAAGAGCACTTCAGAAATCCTACTAGGGATTTAATTCATCACCCTCCTTTAATTAAAAAATATTTCTTCCATCTTTGTAGCAGAACTAGGTTAAGAATAAAACTTCTGGGCTTCCCTGGTGGCACAGTGGTTAAGAATCCGCCTGCCAACACAGGAGACACGGGTTTGAGCCCTGGTCTGGGAAGATCCCACATGCCACGGAGCAACTAAGCTCGTGCACCACAATTACTGAGCCTGCACTCTAGAGCCCGCGAGCCACAACTACTGAGCCCGCATGCTGCAACTACTGAAACCCGCTCACCTAGAGCCTGTGCTCCGCAACAAGAGAAGCCACTGCAATGAGAAGCCAGAGCACTGTAACGAAGAGTAGCCCCCCGCTCGCAGCAACTAGAGAAAGCGCGGGCGCAGCAACGAAGACCCAACGCAGCCAAAAATAAATAAAAAATAACAACAAAAAAAAGAGGATAAAACTCCTATGTTAGCTGTTGGCCCTGACAGACACTCTGTGACAGTTTTGATAAAAGTCTAGTTATTATGACATACCTCACCAGCTCCATTTTGTTTTTAGAAAAACTGCAGGATTAAAGGAGCACTTACCTTTTGCAAAGCTAAAATATCAAACCCAAAAAGTATCTATGAAACATTCTTGATTCTATGGCTATGGTACATCATTTTAAGCCATTGTTGATTGTTCAAACAAAATCATCAGTAGTTCATTGTTCATTCTCATTTGCTCTTAACACAGCACTTTAGGTCACTATGACCAGTTTAAAAGACTTCGTATGAGGGATAAATCCAATTCAGAGATTAGTCCGCAAATATTTGTTCTCATGACTAGTTCATTAAAATATTAAGGCAAAAAAGGGAATCTAGAGTTCTGAGTGTTTTTACCTTTTGTTTTTAAAATCCTAGTTATTTTTCTCTTCCGAATATTTGAAGAACAATGAATTTTGAGTTCTGAGTATGTTATACTTTCATCACAAGAGTCTAGAAAATATATTAGAAAAATGCATGTGGTAAATAATTATAATTTATATATACACATGTATATATATATACATTCTTTTATGATATATAGACATACAATTAAAAGCATGTTAGAAATCATAAACAAAAATTGCCCCCATTTCAGGCTTATAAGAAAGTTTTAAAATTGGCTCAGTTAGGTAGTTGCTTTGTGAAATGTGACGCTTTTTTCTTCTTTAATCCTTAGTTTCTTATCTATAAATAGGAATAACAATAGTATTTATTTATAGATATATTGTGGAGATTAAGTTAATCTATATAAAGTCAACAGCATAGCACTTGGAGCAATAAACATGCAATAAGTGTTATTATTGTAAAAGTGGTCATAGTAGTAGTGTAGAATAGTAATTGTAAGAATAGAATGGAAAATATTGTCAGGAGTAAAACTGGTTGCAGAAGCAAGAGTAGAAATTTAAAAATTAATTTAAATACCTGTAATGTAAATGTCTACAATTGTTCCTTCTTATAGTTGAATTTAATCTTAATGAAAGAAGCATGAGAAAAAAAATCATCTAATTCTTGCTAGGTAGATAAATTTTCTTAGCAACATATTGCATGTACTTCTTCAGTGCAAATGAAGCAGAATTCACAGCCACAAAGTCAATAACATTTTTCCAAGTAATATTAACTCTAACTCCATTGTAAATGTTCACTTAACAAACAATGATTCAAATTTAAATCCCCTTAAACCGGAAAATTTTAAATTCAAATAAAGGCAAAAGATTTTTAACTCTTCCTCTAAAAGTACCTAGCTATGGACTTTGTTATTTATATTATTTTCTCATTAAATAAAGGGATTTCTTAGCAATAGCAGCAGTACCTCTATTTATTTCATGCAATTCCTCTGGCGAAGGTTGATCAGTACAGGGTCTGGATGGTGCTGGTGTCTCTGGTCCCATAGCTGAACTTAGGCTGCATGGATCAGATGATGAGCAGAGGGTTAGAATGAAACAGGATCAAGGAAACAGATCTCTTCATACTGCAACATCAGACAGGATGTTTACTCTAAATTTAATATGTAAAGTATTTTTTACATTTAAGAAAATAAAAGGCAATGTAATTCAGCCCCTATAGATTAAATTTGTTATTCTTCCATGTATAATGAAGCGCTTTTTTATTTCCAAAGATAAAGTTTAAAATTACATTCTCCATAATGATTTCTTCTCTGCCTTGTTATTTTTCAGAAACAGTGAATGAACAATGAAGACTAAAACACTGTTATGTAAATAAATGATGTATTGTACTTAAATAAAATGTAACAAATACTGATTTTTAGAAATATCTTTTTTTGTGGTTATAAATATTCATGCCCATTATTAGAAGGTATACTAGAGAAAATGAAAATGACATACAACTCTGTTCCTGCAATACGTCTGTTGAAATAATTATTCATAACTTTTCTTAGTTTCTCAAGTGACCAATGGCTGTTTTGTTTAAAAAAGTAAAAGGAACAATTTAACTATCAATAAATTAAATAATGAGATAATTTATAATGTATGTCTACAAAAAAACTTTCACAGTCATTAAGTATAGATGAGACAGTTCTGCAAGTATTGATGTGAATAATGTTCCGTGATATATTAAGTGGGATAATATTCAAATTATTGCAAAATATGATTTTATACTATATTTGGTAGAAAAATATCTGTTGTTATCCGTGTGCTTACAGTATAATAATATGTGTTTAACCTGGTAATTTAAGATTGCAATATAATAATATTTAAGTGACTAACTTGGTAAATTTTTATTTTACGTATGTAGTTTTCCATTTTTGTGTTGCTGTTTTTAATGAACATATGTTTTTTATCATTGAAAGGATGAAATTTATGTGCATTAAAGTGTGCACATAAATTTCATCCTCAGCCTAATGTGTGCTCTCAGATATACATACCACAATGACCACAGGGGCCTCTGCCCTCACCTTTGATCAATAGAAATAAACTTCATAGCAAAAGAATATAATTTGACTGGGAGACCATAAGTATTCTTGGGTCTTGCATTGTTTTGGAAGAGGGTAAAGACAATGATCATTTACAGACATTAATAATTTAAGCACATGTGCTTTAAATTCAAGTAAATGCTAAAAAGATGGAAAGAAAGTATATCTTCAAAAATTATAGAGGAAAACATAAACTGAGAAAAATTAATAAACCCAAAGAAGCTAGAAAGGAGAGGGGGAAAAAGCCTAGAGTAGACAGGACAAACAGAAAGCACAAAGTTATGATATTGATAAAAAATAAAATGTATCAACAGTAGATGTGGGTGCTGTAAATGCTCTGGTAAAAAGATAAAAATTATCACAGGATTTTAAAAAATTTTTAATGTTTTGCGTTATTTACAAAAGTCATATCTAGTAGATAAGGGTGCACAATAGTTGAAAATAAAAGATAAAAATATATACAATGCAAACACTAATCAAATTAAAGCAGTTATAGCTCTTGATATCTGACAAAATACACTTTAATGCAAAATGTAGTATTTAAGGTGGGTTTCTTGATAATAATGAAAGTTTCAATTCAACAGTAATCATAATTTTAATATAACTTTTTAATATAACTTCAAAATGTAGCAAGGATAAATAATATGTATATACAGAAGGGGCAACAAACAAAACACATTCAAAGCCTTTTTCCTAGTGCTGCTTTTGGAAATGCATCATTGTTCTTGGTCTTCTTCAGTTTTTTATTATAATGTGATTTTTGTGAACTATTTTTCTCTCTTTTATCCTGTTAATGTTAATTAGACTTCATAAATCTGTAGGTTTTTGTCTCATTATCACTGCTTTGAAAAAGCCTTTGCTGTTAATTTTACAGAAGACACTTTTCCTCTTCACTCTTTCTGAAATGCTGCTTTCTAAACACGTTTATTTAAGTTGCTTTATGTTTAATTTATTTTTCATAATTTCTATCTTTTTGTCTCTGTGTGCTATATTTTAAACAGTGCTTCAGAAATATCTTCCAATTCATTAACTTTCTCTTCATCTGTGTCAAAGTAGATGGTAAACCTATCCAATATTTATTTTATTTTATTTTATTAGTAATTCTATTTAGTGCTTTTTCAAATCTGCTTGGTCATTTTTAAAGTTTCTTGTTCTCTAAACACATTGCACAATTTGTCTTATATTACTTTCAACACAGTAAATGTAGCTAATTTATGCATATCTGATTATTGCAGTAATAATTTTGTGAATATCTTCTGCTGTCATTTTTATTCCTGCTGGTTCTTTCTAAGGTTTCTTGTTTACTTGTGTGCTTAGTTTTTTAGTTTGTTTGTTTCTGACTCAGATTTTCATCTTTCTCACTAATTTATTTATGAGAGCTTATTAAACCTGGAACAAAAGAGTTGCCCTAGAGAATATTTACATTTTCTTTTGCTAGGTGACCAAGAAACATTAGTAATTTTGAACACATTTAAAATAAAACCTTGGAGGAGTGATGTCACCAAGATGGAAACATAGGTCATTTCTGATTCCAGTCACCCTCAAAGAAGACATCTAGCAACTATCCATAGACAAGACACTGTTGTGAAAATCCTAGAACGTGAGAGTGAGGGTGAAGCTCCCCTACAGAGACCAAGAAGGACCACATTTGAAGGGTAAAAGGAATGGCTACATTCTGACCACAATAGATGTGATAAATCCCATTAAGAGAATGAAAAAACAATCTTATGATAATCTCAATAGATGCAGAAAAGGCATTTGACAAAATTCAGCATCCATTCATGATAAAAACTCTTTAACAATTTATGTATAGAAGGAACATACCTCAATATAATCAAGGCTTTATATGACAAGCCCACATCATACTCAGTGGTGAAACGTTGAAAACTTTTCTTCTCACCTGAGGAACAAAACAAGGGTGCTCACTCTTACTACTCCTATTCGACATAGTACTGAAAGTCCTAGCTAAAGCAATCAGGCAAGAAAAAGATATAAAAGGCATCAGAATTGGAAAGCAGAAGTAAAATTTTCTCTGTTTGCAGATGACATGATTTTACATAAAGAAAATGCTAAAGACTCAATCAAAAACGTGTTAGATCTAATTAATGAATTTAGTAAAGTTGCAGTATACAAAATTAACATAAAATCAGTAGCATTTCTATACACTAACAACAAATGATCTGAAAAATAAAGACAACAATCCTATTTACAATAGCATCAAAAACAATAAAATACTTAGAAATAAATTTAATCAAGGTGAAAGCTCTCTATTCTGAAAACTGTAAGATGAAAGAAACTGAAAAATATGCAAATAAATAGAAATATATCTCATGTTCATGGATTGGAAGAATTAATATTGTTAAAATGCCCATGCTACCCAAAGCCATACTTCCTGATTTGAAACTATATCAGAAAGCTATAGTAATCAAAACAGCATGGTACTGGCATAAAAGCAGACACATAGACCAATGGAACAGAATGGACAGCCCAGAGATACACCTTTGCATATGTGGCCAATTAATATTTGACAAGGGAGACAAAAACACTCAATGGAGAAATGACAGTCTCTTCAATAAGCAGTGCTTGGAAAATTGGATATTCACATGCAAAAGGATGAAGGTAGACCTTTATCTTAACTACTCACAAATATTAACTCAAAATGAATTAAAAACTTAAATATGAGACCTTAAATCAAAACTCCTGGAAGTAAACATAGGGAAAAGTCTTCTTTACATGTGTCTCGGCAAAGTTTTTTGGACATAACAACAAAAGCACAAGCAACAAAAGCAAAGTGGGATTGCATCAAGCCAAAAGCTTCTGCACACCAAAAGAAATGATCAACAAAATGAAAAGCCAATCTACTGAATGGAGAGAAAATATTTACAAAACACATCTAACAAGGGGTTGCTATTAAAATAGATAAGGAATTCATACAACTCAATAGCAAAACAAAACAAACAAAAAACCACTCCAAACCCCACAAATAATTCAATTAAATAATGCCAAAGGACCTGAATAGATATTTTCTCAAAGAATATATTCAAATGGTCAACAGGTACATGAAAATTTGCTCAATACCACTAATTATTCGGGAAATGTAAATCAAAATCGC